TTTTGCTACTGTTAAATAGAATTACACGCCGATGAACATATTTATAAATTCGAGAAAAATGCGAATTCTCCTTATAATTCCTAAACGATTCTTATGAGAATGTCGGATATTTCCTCTTTCAAAGTAAATATTTGTAATTAAGATGGCACGATGTTGCAACGTAAACATCATTTCATATTAATACAATTAACCACATAATAAATTAAGATAATACTCTTGAGATACGGATTATTATTATTATTTCGTGATTGTATAATATAATCGTATTACCCCTCCGCCCACGCGGATAGCAACATGGTAAACACTCCTCCGATTTGCGCCGCGGAGGATTGAAAATGCACAACCGTGGAGAGACGTGGGAAGAATTCTAAAGAGGGCTTTGAAGTTTCGATCTCAAATCGCGAGATAAAAAATGAACCCGTTACGGGTGTTGCCTTTGACCTCGCGTTACACGCCGTGGGCGTATCAAGCTCAACGTACTGTCGCATTAGTGTTCCGGATATTTTGCCGGTACACTTGCATTGCGCGCGAACACGTCACGCCGTAAATATCGACGCAGAAATCGGACGCGGTATATAAATACATAAGGGAGCGAGAGAAAGATGCGGGGAAAAAGTACACGGATAAAGGAACATCTCGAGGGGAGTTCCCTCGCTATTTCATATTTCACAAGCGCGAAGAGGAATTCGCATTGAAACGCTCTTACGATGTTTTCTCTTTCTCGAGCGGTGTTGATCTTGCAGATCTCGAGTTTCTAGCAAACACAGAAATTTGGTATTTTTCTTGGAACCGCTAATTATGCCCATTGCAGAGAGTAATTACGAACTTACGTCTGACGGACTTTTACGGCGCAGCTTTTCTTACGTCATATACCAGTTGCTGTCTGTCTTCAGAAGAAAAAGAGACGTGAGAGACGTGCGCGGAAAATTGTGTTCACGTACGAAAACGTACAATTTGTAACATTTTATATCTTTGCGTAACATTTTGCGTAATATAAAGATACATCTTGTGATTACTTGCATTCTAAGGGTGCGCATAAGAAAGAAGTCAGGAATTCACGTCAATAATACATTACGTGATGTTCCACGAATTTTCTTGCAATTTTCCGCGTCGCGTTTATTAAATTCTTTTCGTAACAGAGACGCGACTTTGCAGTATGATAATACAACATAGAAAAGAATAAGTGTATACATAACGAAAGTAAAGATACAATATGAATAATAGATATAGAATAATATATACAATGGTAAAGTTGTAGAAATTCAAGGTTGCAGTTGTTGTATCTTCTTACGCTCACATACAGGTATCTTTTGAAAACCTTGCCTTCCATTCGATTGCTCTTTCCGCCATCGTCAAATCTCCTAGCGGCAACGCTCGAGGTTCCACATGTACTTATACTTGTGTCGCGGTTTCTCATTTCAACCATCTCTTCGGATGCATGCACGCTCGAATTGTCGCAGGCATTTTAGATATTTCGCTCTTGCAAATAAAAGTTTGCGGTTACACACGATCTCATTTGACAGTTATTACGATGTTGCGAAAGATCGTTGATCCGAGTCGAAAGTACGGAATACTTTATCCCAAATACATATTTATGACTAGTAATAATGAAATTTGTGTCACATAAATTCAAAAATAAGGCATGAAAGATGTTCGATATCTCTAACGGCTCTTCTGCTTAGTGATATTTGAAAGATAATTCTGTTTCATTAAATATTCTTATTACTTGAATTCGCTTTTGATCATTAGCGTTTAAATATACTAACGTGTAAAGAAACTTGCTGTTATAAATTCCGATTTCCTCTTGTTCTATTAAGTAGTTAAAAATAGAATGCGTGTTTTTGTTAGCCGTAACGAGTTTTCTCTTTCAACCCCTGTGTTTTCTCCTTTATTAGTGATACTACTGTACTCGTCGGCGTCGGCGTTGAATTACGCGCAATGTATAAATCTGCATACATTTTGACGTTTGTTGTCGCCGCTTCATTTCAAGCGTTTAGCGTAAGACTAATGAAACTGGTGGGGGCTTCGTTAAATATTAAAATTAACGACTCGGTAATAAACAAATATTATTAGCAGTAATGATGTTGAGAACATTATTCAACTAACTTGTATATTCCACCGATAATTATTTCGCGCTTATTAATGCCGGCGTCAGTGATTGAATATGAATTCATCTCTCTGTATCTTTTAATATTAAAAGTATTACCTTCATTTATAAATGTACTAATATTAACTAATATTAACTCAGTGAGAATATTTCACAAAATTTTTAATGAAGATGTAGATCATAATAGCTTGTTTCCAGTATCGACATTAAAATTACGATGATATTATTTTATTTATTATTTTATTTTCTTTCGCGCTGTTATCGCTCTTCTGCTTTCAATAATTACATTCCATCAATGTTTTCTCTTAACGTTTACACGATACACCATAATGAAAATCTCGAGATTATAGTTAATTTTGTAATGTGTGGTGGATTACAGATTTATTAATATACCGCGAGACGAGGTAAATCTGATTTGACGTTGTGGCGTTAACGCCGTCGTGTTTGTCGCATACCAAGTTGAATTCCGTTTTATCGATTGCGTAAGCGATATCCATCTCTTCGAAACTAGAATTTTTGCAGATCCGTAAATCGTTCCGACGCTCCCAATTTAGATGCGTATTTCACTAGTTTCCCGTATTTATTACGCCGATATCACGGGATGTGCAGATATCGTCGACTCTTCCGATATAACTGTGGCTGATCGTTGACAGAAACGCGCGAAATTGCGTGCCGTTTCAGTACGTTCAACGCTTTAAATTTCAATTTATACTCGGCCAAAGCTTCATGCCGCGCATGAATTAATTAGCTTGTTATAATTAACTAACAGTTTATTCTATATTTCGAAAATACATTAAATAAACTCGCTAAAGGCAGTAAGTTGAACATTAATTTAACCCGTTTTGTTGGCAAAGTAATTCCGTTGGAGAAATGCGGATTTTATTGATACCTGCTTTCTACTTGCATACTACATATCCTGCATAATAATTTTTCTATTTATCATTTCTCTGTGAAATTGCAATAACACGTTTTATATTTTCCTTTCTTCATTTGATCAATGAGCAATAGTACTTGTAATTTTTCATCAGTCTTTTGTGGAAAATATTTATTTAATTTGATTATCTTGACCTGTCTTAATTTAACATTATTAAATAAAAAGAAATACACGATATATCATATTTAGTCAATCCAATGTCATTTCGAAAGGTAGACTGATTTTCACGAATATTGTAATACAACGATTTTATAATAATACACACATATACACACACACGTTAAACGTTCTCGTAATTATTTACTTCCTATAAATTAATTATTGTTAACTATACATTATATTTATTCCTCATTTCCATTTAGCTCGAGATCGAGTTTCGAGAGAGTTAAACAGTGATTATCTTTTTGTATTAAGACTCAACATGAATATATCTGCATGCGAGATACAATGAATGTGTTAATCCGGACGTTCGTATTCAGGACTTGCTGCCATTAAATACATTAAATTTGCAACTGACTAAATGAAAACATTATTTTACATTACTCGTTTTTGTCACTCTTTCTTCCTTACCTAATATTTGATAATCTTTATAAACATTTTATAATGAAGCGTATTGGAATAACAAATAGAATGCATAGAAAGTTCTTGAAGAAAAAATATTAAAAATTGAAAAAGAAATAAAATCGATAATTTATTTGTTGGTTGATTTCTTGATTTGTCCTGTATAAATATTGAACGAAGAGAATTTTTGTTTGTTAATATGTTTCTATGATAGAGATGTGATATTGCCATACGCGAGAGTCCATTAGTCTATTTCGGTCATTAAATCACGTAACGTTCTGCTTGGTAGCTGTAAATTTCGCGACTAAGACCATTGAACATTGAGAATTAATTAATCTGATAACACGCACTAGTACATAGGTACGTGAACGTATTAAGGATTTTCAGGCCCTGTAGACCTCACGCTGCGATACTATCTCCGAACCTCTCGAATTTCCCAAGATGACTATTAAATACAAAATCGCTTGTAGAATCTAGTAATGAAATTCGATCTTTATGATGTTTGAACATTATTGCTTTACACGGTAGAAATTCTATATTAATTTGAAGCAATTTTATATTTTTAGTAGATATTGCATTTCAAATTTTTCAGTATTAAATAATTTGATTTTTTATAAGATTTAGATATTAGTGTTTAGATATTACAATAGGTGATGTAACATATATATTTGTTTTTAAATGTACTAACTCTTTAAATTAAATTTTATGTATGCGATTTAAATCAACATTAATTACATTTTCATGCAGTTTGGATCATGTTTATTATCGATATTTATTTATAATATTAAATGATAAATATTTAACGAAATTAATTGTAATATAAATTGTTATCTAATGTAATTAGAATGATTGATATCTTTGTTACATTTAATTGAATATGAGTTGCGCATTATAGACTTAACGTGCCCTGAATTTGCGTGTAACTCGATCGCATCTAATTAGTCATATTGACATATTGCCGAGTTCTGTCAGTCCTATATTTGTACGATCGTATAACATGCCGTATCTCGAGAAGATTGACTGCTGTAATTTCCCAAAGTTTCGTCGTGGGAAAATATCGCTGTGTGGAGAAAGTTCGCGATGGCGCGTGTCTTTTTCTTAAAAGCTTTCTTTAGTCTGCTGTTTGTCGTGACGTTCTAATCAATCTAACATTCCACACACCCGACAAATAAATAATGCTGTGCTATTGAACAGATCATAGTCATTAAATTACCATGATTATTGAATCTTGGAAACTTTTTCGTTGTTTTAACATTCAGGAAATAAAAGATTTAAATGCGCTCGTCGTTTTCATTGACGAGGTAGTCCGTCAATAGTGCGATTAACATTAAGAAGCATCGAGACATTTCCGGTTTGGTCTGATATCATTGTCAATTCACTGAAGAATCGCGTGCTTACCTGTCAGCTCGCGTGTCAGTCTGCTGCATTTGCGGTTGCATCTGTATTTGTAATTCTTGCGCTTGATCCGATTTCGCCTCCACCCGATGATCATCCTCTTCTACCTTCTCGCTCGTCGTCCTCTCGTTTTTCGCGTCGCAGCTCTCCACCGCAATGTTCCTACGTTCCACCTGTGTAAGAAAATCCGAGAGAACATCGATAGAATTACTTCCCATTTAATTTCCTGACACGAGTACAGAATGTTAAGAAAATTAACTGAATTTGTGCTGACTTCTAATTTTAGACTTCCAATTTTAGACTCATGCCAAGTTTTAGCAATTGCAACATAATAAGTTTTTGAATACTTGTTACATATATAGGTATATGTTTTGTATACATAGAAAATACTTTTAAATAAATTTGCATTCTTTTATAAAATATTATTATAAAATTTAATTATAAAATTAAAAAAAAACAGAAATTTTTATTATTTTTGTCGACGATTTTTGAAGTTGTTTAAACGGTTATAGGAATTTATATTACTTCCGGATCTTAGTGATGGAAATGACGGAAAAGATTAGCAGAAGAGAAAACAAAAATACGAAACAGTCGTTATATTTTTTTAATATTAAATCTTTAATTTATAAGCTATACATTCAGTCCATTACTAAATTATTAAAATTTTATGCGACTTCCATGTTTATTTTTCATCTTGGCATCTCAGGCTTTCCCATTTTATTTCGTATTTTTGCCTTCCCCTTTAACGAATCTCGCGATATTGGTATTGACGCGATAACGTCGCATTTCTAACAGTCGTGATTTGCAATTTCCTCGTTATTTCATTTGCATTCACCGGCAGAATTAATTACAATACTTACCGTGTTGGGATACAGCTCCTTTCGTTGCTCCTCGTCGTTGGACTGAATCACGGTGGCTTCCGGTGTGACATGGCTGCCGTTTCCCGCCATCTCTTCGCCCTTTCTGGTTTCAGCGCGGCCACATCAGAGGCCCAGCAAGCAATACACGATCACACACACAACTCTCTTGATTTCGTTCACATGCACCACCCACACACGCTGCGGCTTTGACCGAAGCCTTACTGTTTGTGTTTTCGCTCAGACGGCGTGATACCGCATTTTTATCAGAATTGCCTTTCGCTGCTTTCACGGAGCATGGTTTCGTGCTGGCTCATTTCGTACGTTTTGAATTTCCTTCATGGAATTCGTTAGATTTGGGAGAAGATATCGGCGATCTTCGCATGGCAGGAAATAGGAATATCCTGGACACTCGAGTCGATGAAAGGGCATGTGTCAAGGTCCTATTAAGACTGATCGTTATGCACGCGTTCTGTTAAAGTTCCGTTACGTAAAGTCTGTGCAAGAAAGAGAGAGAAAGAGAGAGTATTGGATTGAATTAGATAATAGTGGGAAGATGCTCTTTCTAAGAAAAACCTATATTGCTTTCTCTTTTATCCAAGTATTATGCGAAATTTATGAAATATTTTAAAACTAATAATAAATTTCGAAATAGAATGACGGAAGAAATGAAAAATTGAAACCTTTATAAATATATTTTTGTCAATATATTTTAATCAATTTGTTTGCCAATAAAATCTAATTAATTGGACTTAAACATAGCAATTCTCTTTATTTCCACAATTACTCGTTGTAAAAATTTCTTTAGTATTTCATTATTTTTAGCTGAAACTAATTAAGCTGAAACTAATTAATACAATACATTTTTGCTCAACCAGTCACATTTATATAAGGATTTAAAATAATACAAAGAGTGACGAAATTAAAATCGAAAAGCAAATTAAAATTGTTAAATTTGATAAATTATTACTGTTTTATGAATATTGAAAGTTGACTATATATTTTCTGTATTATTTTTTGCCACATTACTTCATGTACACGTGAGAAACTGTATATTGAATCTTCATTTATATAACATTTTTATTAACGCCTGCTTTCAAGATGAATTAATTCTGATATAAAAATTAAAAACTAATGGTTGGTAGAACGCACGCCGCAAAGGCTATATAAAATTAGCCGATAGTATTCGAAACTTAAGAAAGTTGAGCGAAGAAATTTCTCGACTTTTAGTGACGGTTAATGGGAACTTCCTTTTCTTGTTCGAACAGTGGAGTAATGAGACTCCGCCGCAATTCTTTGCGCCCAATAATTCTCTTCGCAGATAAGTGCTGATGGAAGAATTCTAATATATTTATGCTATGCACTATATACGTCTTTTAGAGATTGTTCTACTGACTGTAATATTCGCAGATATGATTTTTTAAATTCTCTTTCTAAATATATGTACATATTTTTCGTTTATATAATTTTAATTTGTACTTAATTTTTAATTATATAAAAAAAGTTTTATTTATAATTCAGGACATTTTCAGAATTATTTTGCTAGTTATTATCTGTTACAAATTAATGATATCCGTTTTGATAATTTTCAGGAAGCAAATATAGCGCAATATATTGCTACAGTTATTGACATAAAAACGATAAGACATTTAATTATATTAATAAGGATGAATAACGTGTTGAAATCGAAAGGATCTCCGATGAATTATACTGCTATTCGATACATATTGATTAAAGATTTTCACGCGATAACCGACATCGGTCGACATTGAAACTCGTGTTCAGGTCGAGAAAATCCATTAGCATTCAGCGTCAGTGTTTGAAGATGTCTACTAATGATAATACTAACTACGAACTACACAGTGAAAAGTTTTCAACGAATTGAACTGCATGTAGAGTTACTTATACTAGATAAAGCTTCTAATTTTATCTAACTACCCCTTGTGACTTATCACCGTAATCTGTGTATTGATAGTAATTGAAGACACATGCCGTGGTTAATAGGATCGATAATAACGTAAGATAACGACAGCAATATGTCATGGCTTCGGTTAGCCATGGAAAATCAGATGCGCAATGATTATGATATTGCGCAGTTTGAATGATACTACAATAATGTCAAAATATATTCAATTAATAATATATATGCAATAGAAATTTAGCGTGCAACATGTATAAAAATATTAAAACATTTTTATTTTATAATGAAATAATAGCTGAAGAGAGAAAATAAAATAATATTTAGATTAAAAAGTATATTTTAAATTTACGTGTATAAAATATAATTAAAAAAAAACTGCTTGAAAATCATAAAATGCTAAAAAGACAACTTGTGGAAACTTATGAGAAAAAAATATATAAATGCGTAGTCTGTTATTTGAACGGTTTCGAAACAAAATGTAGTACTCGTGGAAAATGTATTAGAAAACTGATGGTGGCGACCAGTTCAGCGTGAAATTATTCAGACTGTTTTGAGAGCGAAATTAATTTTAATCCAGTTCAATTTGCAAAAGTAATATATAGAAATTACACAGCATATGAAATGAATAGTACATTTTGCAGCAAGTCGAACAAATGACGGGAAACTATAAGTAATGAGAAACTATTTTCTCATCGTGTAATTCATTTCCGTTTATTTTCTCGGCTCATCCATTTTAATGTATTTCGATATTTCGGTGGGAAACGCGCTGGAGACATTTTCTACTTTTATATTATTCATTTTTTTTTCCAGTAGCAAACGCGTTCTCCCTCTTTGCTTTTTATCACGCGTTCTGTATATACCTTCCTTCCCCTCATATGATTTATATCAGCATCTACGAGAAGTCGGAGAAGGAAAATTTGCGCGGTCGGCATAATACCCGAAGCCCGTGAAAGTCATGTGGAATAATTTGGCGCCTAGGTAGTACGTTACGACGAGTCTCGGCAGGTGTGAAATTGTGCCTTTGTACATATCCCTTTACATTAGGAATTCCGTCTGATCCGGATTTCGCGGTATTTCGCACTTAATACCCGAGTACAGTTTCGACAATTAGATTATTTCAATTGTATTTATCGTTTTTTTGGGAGAATCCTTTCATGTACGTAACATCTAATTGTAAATTTACGGAGAAATAAAAAAAAAAGATGCTTGCACGAAAGATGCGTCTTATATGAAGGTACACCGGCACGCTCATGTTGGTCTAGAGTTTATGAAAATTATCAGGTTACATTAAACACACAAAGTTTGTTTAATTAAAATCGTGCAATACCGCGATGGACGAGGATGAAATGTTATAGCTTTTGCAACGCTCGGCAAAAAGCCTTAAAGCCGATCGAGTTTCTCGAACTGCTTTTTAGCATTACTTGTCCTTTACAGCGTGTTTCAACAGTATTATTAGGAAACGAAACTGCGTAGTGCACAGTAGAGCACGGTAGAGAGGTTCTGTGAACTGAAAGGAATTAGCATTTTATTCACGTGATGAATGATTTCGACGTCGGGTTTTCATCACGCACATGCTTTTCGAAATAGGACGAAATATCCGAAAGAAACGTGACGGAAAGTATACCCGGTATACTATACACTCGAAGAAGTGGACTGGCCTGGCGATATCGGAGAAGCAATCGATCGATGCCAGTAATAATCCACTTCGTTCGAAATCGCATAAATAAATGGGCCCCTACAGGGGGGCGGGCGTTCGCGGGAGAGCTTGTTAGATTTGAGCTTTATACGAACTCTTTAATTTTGCGCTATATATCCACTCCGCGGGGACTGCACCGACCTTAATTACTAGTTTATTCATTAGCGACAGTTGTCGAGTTTCGACGAGCATGCGGATATAGTCGTCGCTCGTAGATCTCGCGCTCTGCTGCGAATAATGTCACGGCTGCGCCGCGGCGTTCGAGAGTTTCGAACTCGTTTAAACAACTTTTCCATTGTCGTGCCACACACCGGTGTGCGCGACGTGGAGCGCGGAAATATTTTTACGCGATTATAGCTTAGGTAGCTCGCGCGCCGGAGACGCGGCTGCCACTCAATATGATTGGTGCTTTGCGCGGCGAGCGACAACTTCTGCGGCAAAACAATCATGCGAATCGATTGTATTCGTGTCGATGTTTGCGGCTAACAATAAGCTGGTGAAACGACCGATCGAGAGAAGATAATAAATATTATATCCTGGGTAAGGAAGTCGCGCGAAAAGGGTATCTCTTTCGGGATAAGCGTGGTCGTCGTATAAAGGCCATCGAATTCGAAAAATAATAAGGGCTAAATAATGAAGTGACTCCGTGTGATTTCTTTTAAATTTTAGGGGTGTATTTTACGGGTGGTCAATTTTTTTGCGTTATCTGCAAGGTCGACGCTAATTAAATCTTTGATTGGCAAGAAAATGTCCTCTGGTATTCGTAAAAAAAAGTCTGCTCTTGAAATATCGAGGGAAAGTTTTATTGCTCGTTCACGTTCGCCGCGGAACTCCGTGCATTAAGTACCTACATCATTCCGACTACGCAATTGGACTCCATCGCAAAATCCATCTTCATCGTACCGGTTGCCCCTGGACGCATTATGGAGCGCCATTGACTTCGAAATAGCAGCAGTAAAAATAACGCGGCGTACGTTCGAGAACCGAGAGCTCCACGAACATGCGTATATTGTATTTCGAGAAAGACAAAACGTTTTCAGTTTCGATACCGAAAGGCATTAGAACTTGATTGTTTTGGTCGATCGGGGTTTACAAACGGGGAGACCAGTTTAGTTCAGAACAATGTATCATTACGAAATTTGAATAAATAAAATCTACGAAAATAGATAAGATGCAAGTTTCTCATTGTAAGATGTAAATTTTCTTTGTTCTTTATGAACAATTTTATTTGTTGTTTTATTCGACTACTACTCGAGCTGATTGATTCGATTGATTAATTGTCGATTAAAATTTATAAACGGAAACTACTTAGATTGTTAAGAAAAATGTATCTTTATGAGACATTTGAATTATTTGCATAAATTGAGCTTAGAAATATTATTAGATATAAATTTTTAAAGCTTGCTTTGTATGAGGGAGGAAAGTTTATTTGTTTTACACGTAACTGCTCGATTTGATCGATACGATATTAATTGTGTAATGAAAATGTTACCCTCTCGCTCCTCTCCATACCTAAGGTAAACAGCATGAATACGTTGTGGCAATACACAATGACCTAGATTAGAAATTCGTCGATCGGCACGATATACGGTCTCGAAAAGTATTTCTTTAAGTTTCCCAGGGGTTTACCAATGTCACGAGCGCATTACGAGATGGTTGCCGTGAACGATGATTTACGATCGCAATAAAGCAAGAAAATCGGCCGAGGTTGCGCCACAAGTGTATTGTTGAATTCGCCACGTTGATCAAGCTTAAAAGATTAAGTTGCACAAAGTTGTATTATATTCTGTTCCGATTATAGATCGAATTTGCGCGGAAATTGCGTGTTTTTCCACGTGTAAAACGAGGTAACTTTAATTCTTACCGTAAAATATTAATATTCAATATTCAGTATTCCGCAACGTTTATTTGGACAACCGATTATATATTATTTATGCAACGTATACGTTATTAAATGTATCGTATGCGATAGTTGCCAGTGTGAAATTCGTCGTTTATAATCGTCGTTAACAAGTGTATTAAAAAAAGTTAACATTGCCTCGTTAACTTTTCAATCACAATTGTGTAAATTTCCATAACGTTATTTAATACCTTCTTTTTATTGCGTAGTAAAAATAACAGCAGCGTTGTATTTTACTCAAAATTGAACTTGTTAAATGTGAAAGAGAGAAAGATTTTCAGAAGAGCGTACGTATTTACACCACGAGTGTAGATATGATTCCACAACAGCTTGCCAGGACAATTACGGACTATAAAAAGTGATTACTCATCAGCCTCATTATTTATGTAACAGGGTCAGTTTGGAGGGGTGACATTAGCAAAGCGCGTTCGTTATATTTTTCGCTTTATGTAAGAATGGAGCCAAGTGATAAAACCGGACGCAATGCGTAACAGAAATTCGATCAATATTTTCTCGTAATAACGGCAATCACGGCGTTTTCTTCGCATATGAACTACCGCAAGCGAAGTAACTTGCGCAGCGTATACAAACTCATATCCACATCGTTATTTACATTGTATAAACTAGTAATAGACGGGGTAAGGCACGTAATACGCTGATGGAAATAATAAAGTGAAGACGGTAAAAAAAAGTGGGACATCGTAGCGGCTTTGATGGCAGTGACACAAGGCAATGTCACGTTGCAATCAAGATGTTAAATATCTAATCCTAACATCGCAAAGGACACCCGATCCTATCGATCCTCGGTTAATTGCCGTTTCATCTACCTGTCCCAACAAGCGCTGCTTAATCACGAGCAAAAGATTTATTTTCTCTTCTCAGAGGGTTTCTACGAATGGAAATACAAGAAGTGTATCTACCGAAAGTTTCCCCTCCGCTTTCCCTTCGATATAATCCTTTCTTTTCTTGAAATAACTTCGAGACGAGAGCAAGAAGTTTCGCGGTAGAGATTTGCTATTCCCTTGTATGGCACACAGCACAAAAGAGACGGTTTTCATGGCTGACATTTGGTCGCCACGACGTAGGAAAGAACAATAAATCGGACTTCGAAGATCAGACAAAGGGCACGGGAACGGGACTATTGCTCGTTCACCGTCGGTGCGCCGTATGTGCGCACGTTCCACATACACAGCGTGTAATTCCGCTCGTGTAATCTGCTTCGTTCGATCGTATTATCCTTCCAGTGTGGACTATCGACTTTAAGATAACGGATCCACCCGAAGCCGAACTAATATTGTCTCATAATTTTTTCCTGCGTCGACTACGATCTATATTTTTATATTGTCCGAATTTACCGCAGGTAAACCAAGTGATACAATTTATAGATAAAGCTATACTGTATTTAAATAAACCTACATGAACGGGGAAATTTTTAATGAACATGTGTATGCAAACACGATTTTAATTAGCGCAATTGACTCGACGTAATCTTATGGACTATCTGACTATGTAATTTAATAAATATTTTTTTAATTATAAGTATGAAGAGATTTTATAGAGATTTGTACTAACAACGGATCACCTTTAACTCAAGTAGGGAGAAACTTTTGTTTTAGTTAACTGAAACTCACTTAAAACCTAATTAAAGAAAATTTCGTTTAAACTTTTGTGTAAACTATTTGTAATACGACAGCTTTCGATAGTTTTACGAAATGTTTAAAAAAAAACAAAGTTTTTTTGTGACAAAGTTTCCTTTCCGAGTTCCTTATATTTTCCTATATATATTATGCATTCCCGTACCGTAAGTGCTGCACTCGAAAATTTTGATATATTTTTTAAGTACATCCTAAACTCTACGCGCGAGTGCATTTTCCAATCTTCTGCTGTATCTAAAAACAGTAAGCGCTTTATCGCGGAGTGCTTTAACGCTTTAAAGCTTTGTTTACACCTGCACGACCTAGTCAGATTACGATGTTCCGCAATGTAAACTATACACGGTGCAACAGCCCGCATTGTTGATGGTGAGATTGACTTTATAATCTCCTGCGTTATCGCGTAATTATAGTAACTGTCGAGCGGTGAATTTATATAGCGGCATGCTGCGCCAAGAATCGGCTTGAAACGTCATTGATCGGAATAGTAGACGTTATTAATGATGCAAAACACACAGTATTTCCTACATTCTATACTATCGCATTCCGTGAACTCAGCCTTTGTACACAATTTTTTTTTATTTAATCGCTCGCGGTAAAATCGAGAGAAATTCAACTCCGACTCGAAAAACGCGACGAACGTGCGTTTGGATAGCGTTCGTGATAGCGTTCCTCTCGTCAATTGGCACATGAAATTGAGGAAGTTCGTGGAATGAGTTAAAATTAGGCTGGAATTAGATAAACCCAGCCCTTGGGAATTTATCGAGAAACGGACGACGTGCATACAACGTGAAATTAGCTTTGACCGTGTATTCAATTCGGTAAATAACGGCATCAGATTGCACAAACGAGACGCAAAGCGCGCACATCGTCCAGTCAAGCATCAAAGTGCACTTGCTCCAGCGGCGGTAATCATATATAAATTATACGAAATCATTATTATGCGTTCATTATTGCTGATCGACTGGTTATCCCTTGGTGACTGCAATATTAAAGGAAAATGTCTTCTCCGGAAATACACCCTTTTCGTAGTATCACAAATAGGTCAGATGAGCACGGCTATTTTGAATTTAGCTCCACTAAATCTACCTTCACATTAATTGAATAATTGTCTATATCACTTTGGAGAAACAAAGAGATATCGATAAATTTAACTGAAATTCTCGAGAGTACAAGGATCACGAACTTCTTGAGGTTCACAGGTTTAAGTATTGTGAGTATCATGTCTTCGCGTAAAAAATTAAACGAAAAAAACAGCGCTAAAATTTTTCTGACATGTGCGTGTTAGAGTTTTATTTGTTTGTTTCCTAATTATAATATCGATGGAAATATTACCCTTAATTTTAATAAATCGAAGATCATCACTAAAATGAATTTAACGTTTCGAACACGGAGCTTTGGATGGATAAAAGATACGACCACACGTCGTTCAATGCTAATCGCACGTACATACGTACGAGCTTTCGACTCGAATGCTATTGCTTTGCTGATTCACCGTTCTACAGTTACAAGTCGCTTTCCGAAGGTTTCGCCACGCTAAACGTTAACCGATTTAATTAAATTACTTGATACTTTGTTCGCGCGAAACGGGGGCTACTTATATAGCTCGCGATTAAGAATTAATTATAACATCACCGACCGCGTGGAAAGCGTCGTCCGTCCGACTGTCGCATGTACGAATGCTTAATGGCCATTCCATTTGAATAAAACCTATTTTCGTCCGTATATACGTTTCGTGGATGCGGTCGGGCAAAAATGGCGAATTAATGAGAAAATATGCGCCGTGTGTGATATATAGCGAGCGAATCAATTTCGATTATCCGCTCGGCGCCGATAATAACGCGCAGTATTATATGCGCGCGCGAGTTGTTTTTACTTACGAACACGGCCTACGACGTGAGCATCGAGGTATCACCTGCTATGACTGTCAACTCGGCGAATCACCGTACGTAGTGTACTAAAGACAGGCCATAAACGCGAAAACACCGTTTACGATCGTATCGATCTTCCCCGGGTTAAGAGGAGTCGGGATAAGCGGTCTTTCCCATTTACCTTCCTTCATTCGCGGTACCGCCTGAGATCCAGCAAATTGTTCCCGAAGCTCTTTAAGAATTCAAGTGCGTCACATGCCCACGCTTGAATCGCAGACTGACAGTTCGTTATATTCTCAGACAATCCTCTTCGGTATATACACCGTTCAACATATAATATCCAACGCGTTTCTGCGTTGTTTAAATGAGAATATCGATATAACCAGTTTAGAGCTTCGGCGCTATAAACCCGCAAAGCCGGTCTGTATATTTATTCAGGACGAAGGAAGAGCGAGGAGATCTTAGCGATAAGAGGCCTTTCTCCTTCTCCCGTATCTCTACAGCCCTGACAATAGCGGCTCTCACCCAGATATTATACCGGCTTCCCAATTCTCCCTGATACTTAAACTTTTCGCGATCAATTTTCTTCGTTTTCTCTCTCTCTCTCTCTCTTTCGAGGCGACGAGATCGTGGAAACGACGATCTTACCGCGCGCGCGAGAGATATCGTTCTCCGTTTCACTCGGGGATCATTACAAGCAGTGCGAAGCGAGGACCGTTTCGGAGTCGGCTTAGGCCGTGAGAGAAGTAGTAGAGCTCGACGCTACGCCCGACGTCCGTCGTGTAGCACGGCTCGCCGTTTACTGGCGCGCTTGACGCCAGGCGTCGCGACGCGTATAGGGCGCAACGCTAATCGGCGCCGCGTCTCTCCGCGATGTTGGCGGTTGACGGCGGCGGCGGCGATGCGTGGAAACGCGTAAACTTTTGCATGTATCCCGCCGATGGATTTATCATCGACGAAGCCACCGGAAGAACGCCGGAGCCCTGACTACGGTGCACCGTCGTCGTCGGACAAATGGATTCTCGTCAACCCCTCCCTCCCCCTCCCCCAACAGCCACGCCGGAACGATCACATTAGCGAGGTAGGCGCGTTTGTTGTGGCAGGTGATTAATTGTACATTGCTTTTCATCAATCCAACATCCCCCATATGCCGTGTGATTCCGCGTCGTTCATCCGTTATTGTAGCGATCTCTATTAAAAGAAATTTTGTTACATTTTAATTAATAAATGTAACGCTTATTCTTGCGCTACGACCATTGGAATATTAAATTCAATACGCAATTTCTCTATACATTTATTTCAGCGTGAAACATCACTGTACTGTTGGCTCGCGTGTTTAATATTTCATGAAGGAATATTAATTATTTTCGTTATAAATCACGTTTTGTTACAAATCATGGTCTATATGTGCGCTGTACCAACTAATTTTAGTTACATGTGAATAATACGATCATAAATAATGTATTGTTAATTGATGCATTATTAATGCGATATATGTATCGTTGCTAAAAACCTGCTAATAACTTTTTCCTATATTAGTATAAAAATGGTTCGTATATACATACGTACAATTTGAAATCAATATCAAGAAACAATTTTAAAAAATTTATATTGAAAGCAAAAAAATAATTTTACTGATCACTTGCGAATATTATGTATGTAAACATATATATGTAGAGTTAGAGCTCTGTATATACGTTCATTTTTCTGAAATAAAAATTTTTAAAATTTTATATTTATATAATAAATATAAATATTTTGAATATTTTGAAAAAAAAAACAATCCTTGAATATTTTGAATAAGTAATACTTTAAAAATAGTTTAGAAAAGAAGGAACCTTGAATATTTTGGATAAATAATCTTTTGCATAGCTTGAGAGCAAAAACTTAATTATATCTGTTTAAGATTTTTTCTATAATATATTTCAAAATTTTGCAACAAGAGAGAGAAAGAGAGAGAAAGAGTGTTTTAGTGATAAATTCTGAGATTTTTGGTTTCCAAAGTTACAGCCACGTGTAAAGTTCGAGGTCACGCATGGCGGATCGCGTGCCGAACAATAATATCACCGTTACAGTCGGAGAGTATCGTGTTAGCAGCAAATCGGATTTTCGGTTTTTCGAATTCTTTTCTGTATCAGTGAAGCGGAGTTATTTCTAGATACCTACGTATTTATTGATCCGTAAGAGCATTAAGTATTTTAGAGCTTTTGAGCCTTCCGTAAATGGAATATTTAAAAAGTATATTGTATGAGAATCTGTTGTATGTACTATTATGATAATGTGTATATTTTGAATATACCAGTATATTATGAACTTCTATCTTCTCTGATTGTGAGTTAAAAATTCTTTAATTTTCAATTTGAAGTTGACACCTTTTTTATTTTTGATTAAATCACCGATAGCGATTGCATTTAATTTTCAGTACGAAATATCACGATTTAATGAGTTTATTTAATGAGTTAATTGGCTGTGTTAAAACTCGAATTTATTAAATAAAATTTTAATTTAATTAAAATGGGCTAATAAATTCAAAAACACGATTTTGTATGTATTGAAACTCAGATTATACTTATTTTGCGAGAAATTTTTCAAATAAATTTGCCCATTTATTATCTTAATGTTTTAATATTTTCTTAGCATTATTTTTTCCACAAGATAAACTTTGAATTCGTCAGAGACAATTTCAAGGAGTTCCTTGTTCAATATTATTCCTGTGTTTCAAATGATACATTTATCACTGTTTATTGATTTTCATTAAAATTATTAAAAATTTTTAATATTTAAATATGAACAAAAAATATATGTTAAATATATCCTGTGTGCGTTTTTTATTAGTAATAATAGGATAAATATTTAAATTTTTACCGTTAATTAAACTTACTGCAATAATAACTTAAAATCATCAAGCGATTCAATAAAATCAAAAAACAATAATGTTTAATGAAATGTAAATGTAACGTTGTTGCTCAGCTTGCGAAAATTGTTTTTATTTTTCGTCGCGTGTAGCTAGCATAACAGTATTATTCCAGTGGTCTACTTCACGCTATACTAGCTATATTGAATACGGAAAATAAAGGAAGAACGAAACACCGCTATACAGACGATGTGCATCGTCAAAGGTCATCGATGAAAGAAGTCGTGCGTTTACACTGTATACATACATCCACTGTAAATAACTAGAGTAAGTGAGGCATAAAATTGGCACAATACAGATGCTCGGACATCGTAGCGATAAAGAAGAAGAATCTGACTCGGATGCTATTCACGTGTATGCATAAAACTTGCTCAAGAGCTTCTATTCTTGTTCTGCTCTTACTCGCGATCTGTGATAACGAAGATCCATGAATATAAATATTACATATGAAAAATCTAAACGAAGAAATTAAAGATGTTGGAATCACTTTAAGAATTAGCATATAACAATTAAAACTCGATCAATGCGTCGACGGCCCAAATTTGACACGTCGTGAATGCGTCTAAATAATGTATACGCAGCACCCCGCTCTCAGAATTGTGACATTGACATGAACGACGGTAGACACTGGTATCGGCGTTTCGAGCATACGTCGAACTATTAATCGATTATTGAGATACAAGGCGCAATGTCAGTTTCAAAGCAAGGCGTAGTTTGCTTATCAATTAGATGATGAAAATTATCACGATCACATGAGAAACATTTCGGCAGAAATTATTGAATTATTGAAGCATAAAATATTGAAAAATTATTTTGCAATTCATTTATCATCCAGAATTATTAAAAAAAAGTAATATGAGTCCTTGAAGGACGTTAAAACTGTTTGATAGTATCTAATTGTAATAGTCTGTTAATTTTTTGTGTATAAAGATTCAATATTTTCTTAATGTACATATAATTTCTGTAATATATGTATAATGTACACATAATTAGTCATTACTGCTTCTGTAATTTCTGTTAACCGACGAGTTCTATAACTCTCGCTCGCTTTCTAATTCACGAAATTCTGCCTCCGTGAAACTCTTCCATTAAGTAGCTTTTTTTTGTTACATCTTGAATTGGAATACTGCTTTAAAGTAGATAAGCCAATTTAGCGAAAGTTTCTAGCAACTCGCTAGACAGTCTTGTGAAACTTCAACACCTCTTTACGGTGAATTTATAGCTGTCAATGTCGAACGCTTTATGTCCCTTTGTGAATTTGATTATCACTATTTACATAAAGTTTGTTGAAAATATTATTATGTGACTTTGTGAGAAAATCGAGTGCAATATGGAAAGAGACGACTTCGGAAATTTGACAATTGGAATCTCCGTGCTTGTCGAGGACTGTGTTGTGAGATGATATATTATAGACGAGCGTTTGGAAAGTGGACTATATGTTTGTCGATTGCGCGACTAACTTGCGGAAGGACAAAGGTGGCGACTATCGATGGAACGTCAATCTTCGGTCGAATTTCACGGTTCTAGTTCACACTATCTTCCCGCAATTTAGAATTCGTTTCGTATCTTTCCTTTGAGACGAACATTTCACTGCGGGCCTCTCTATGCATTGGAAACCTCGAAACTTGCTGAGTCGATGGAGTTGAGCACATTTTCGTTCTATAGTAAAGTAACGAGCGCTTTGGGAATCTTCTTTTCTTTCTTCAGCTAGAAGACGTTTATTGCGGACCTTTTGACCCGTTCCTTTTTAGTTAGAAGATTTTTGATAATATAATTCGAATTAGCATATTTAATACTGAACTCGAGTTTTTGCAAATATTGGCGAGATTAAAGAAGTTTCTAAATGAATATTAGGATTGCGTGTGCACGTGCTCTTTTGATAAAGTTTTTTATATCGTATATCTCAGGCAGATATTCAATTATTAATGCATTTTATTAAACGAGGATAATAATATGATTTAATGAAACTTCGATTGGACATTAAAATATCTCGGAAAGAGCTTAAGTAAAAACTCGAAAAAGCTGAAAGTTTTCTCTGCTTTTTCCCCATGCTTACTGATTAGTATCGTACATTTGCCTTTTCTGAGATTCCGTGCTTCTTTGTCTCTGCAGTGCATTAGGAAATTGAAATCGGTATCTACTATTGAACGACTTGTATTCTTTATTACTGCGATTATGATAAGGCCAATCGCGATATTTTTCTTCTTTCATGGCTTCATATTGCAGCCGAATGAATAATGTCGACATTTTATGGCCCAGAAGTTTTCAATTAATTGCAGACTATGTTTCTGGTATCTTTTCACACGAATTCAACGAAAATCCATATCTGAATTGTGGCTTGCCGTATTGAGTGAATCATTTATTTGTAGTAAACATTTCAGTGAAATATAAATTATATATAAATGTTAAACATTATAATAACTACATTCAAAAAAATGTTTGCCTAGAATCAAACTAATGAACATACGATATATGACATTCAAATTCTTTAATAAATTACGATAAAAATCTAAGTTCAATTTAAATAATTTTTAAACTACATTTATTATATATCTTTTTAATTTTTTAAATTTATTTTAAGTGTCATATCCTTTTCATATGCTACTTTATAAAAAAAGAAAATATTTTTTCTTGAAATTGAAAATATATGATACTGATGATAAATAATATTGTTTTAAACTGTTTTAAAATTTTCCAATACGAAATTAATGGAAAAGTACATGTATATGCATGCACATGCAAATTTTTTTCTTTTTGTTGATTTCGTTACAATACAGTTATTTCCACCTGTATAACCTTGTCCGTTAGCATGTAGTCTCGATTATCGATTATCGATGGATGTATGAATAAAATCTAGCATCAATTTTCTCAATTTTATTATTT